CTCGCCAGCCCTGTATAACTGAAAGGGACTGGGAAGGCCGCTGCACAGCAGGGCGGCACGTGTGCACGGCTCTGGGTTCCAGCCTCAGCACTCGGCACTGGGGGAGTCCTAGACTGTCTCAGCTCGTATATGCACTGGAAATGGGTTTTGAAAACCCTACAACCAACCTCCCCACCCCCACCCCAAATCACTATGGATGCTTGCTCGGACAGTTTTCAGTTTGGCAGCGAGAAAGTTTAACTTCCCATCGCATCTTTTGCTACTTTTGAGTCTCTTGATTGTACATTTATCATTTAAATATTAAATCTATTCCCACAAGGATACAATTACACATGGTCTCACAAACACACACGATTTCCCCCTATCTGAGTATTTACAACTTGTCTAGAACATCAAACACAAGAATTAACAGCACATTGGGCTTGTCAGCTGACGATGAGATGACGCCTCAATTCTGAAAGGTCCAAGTTGTCTCAACAGCCTTCTGATGCCAGTAAAATCCAGGAGCAACTGTGTCTAAGAACCAGTCTCCCTGCTTTCTCCCCGCATCTCGGTTGATTTCTTTGTGCTTCCCCCCCCATTGGTAATTCTTAGACTTCATCTTTGCAAAACCACCGTCCTATACAGTGATACAGTGAAGTAACCTTGAGTTTCCACAAATTCCAGGGGGAGAGGGTGGAGGGTAGGGAGAGATAGCTAATGATCACAAGGCGGAAGTCAGAAGGGGCCTCTGCCAGCTAGCTTCAAGCCTCGAGTGTCCACCTCTCTCTGGTCCTGCGTCATTCCACTGCGCTCATCGCTGCACTCTGAGTGAATTTCCCACCTCATGACATTTGCCCAGACTTCTGCCTTTACCCTTGACCCTGAGAGTCACCTGACTTCCTGGCCACCAATCTTTTATTTTTTAAAGACAGAGTCTCCTGTGGTCCAGGCTGGCCTCCAGCTCGCCAAGTAGCCAAGGATGACCTTGAACCCCAGATCCTCTAGCTTCTTCCCTCCCGAGGGCTGGGATTAGAGGCGAAGGCCGCCACTCAGTCGGCGGTGGGGCCGCGGGCGTCGGTGGCGGTGAGCGCCATCGTAAAGGCGCGGGCGTCCGAGTCCATCTGCGGGGGATTGGCGTCGAAGGCCGCCTCCCTGGCTCTGCACCCCTCCACGAACAGCCGGCGACGCTCCTCGATGTCGCGGAGCAGCCGGGTGGGGATCAGGGGGTTGGTGTGCAGGTAGTGTTGGAACATCCGCTGCTCGTGCAGCTCTAGAAGGCGCAGCGGCGCGTGGACGTGCGGCATGGCCATCAGGCCCGCCACGCCGGGGAGTCGCCTGGGAAGCGGGCCCGCGGCCCACGGCATGGACCCGGCAGCTCCGGCCAGCGGATCTTCCGGGGCCCCGGGGACCCGACTGCCTCCGCCCACGACCCCCTGCAGAACGTCGCCGATGCCAGTCATGGGGCTCAGGTCGGGAACCATGCTCTCTCCGGGCAGCTCGGACATCGCCAACCGTGGACTCCGTTAGGGTCACCAGGGAGCGCTGAGCTCAGGAGCGCTCCACATCCGCTCCAGCGGCAGTGAAGCCATGCGCATGCGCGGACCTCGGTGCGCTGGAAAACGGTGTGCGTGCGCAAGCACCGTGTTTGGACCTCTATCGCCCTCTAGTGGTGCCGTCTGCTATTGCCGCCGCGTCCGCCTCCAGCTCTCAACCAAAGGGTTCCATCACATACTTTTTTTTTTGTTT